TTTTTTTTTTTTTTTTTAAAGATGACCGATAAGGGGATCTTAACCCTTGACTTGGTGTTGTCAGCACCACGCTCACCCAGTGAGCTGACCGGGGATGGCTGTATTTAAAAACCAATGATAGGGCCGGCCCAGTGGCTCACTCGGGAGAGTGCGGTGCTGATAACACCAAGGCCACGGGTTCGGATCCCATATAGGGATGGCCGGTTAGCTCACTGGCTGAGCGTGGTGCTGACAACACCAAGTCAAGGGTTAAGATCCCCTTATCGGTCATCTTTAAAAAAAAAAAAAAAAATACCAATGATAGTAAAGACTTAAACTCATCATATATTTTGGCACTCTTATTCTCCACGTTGAATTTCCTCTAAAGGGGTCATAGTTGTACAACTTTTCCACCACTTGCTGTTAATATTTAGTTGGAACTAGAGACCTGACATGGATATTGAATTTTTTTAGCCTCATAGTTTCTTTCCTACATTAATGGACTTCAAGCCCTAACGCCCTACCTAGCCTTCCCTCAAAGTTCTTCCATGTACAGTGAACCAGTCCTGCATCCAAATCATAACACATAACTAATTTCCACTCTTTTGGACATCTTAAGAAACTTATTTCACACATTACAAGGAGAAGCGTGCCCAGACATAAAGAAACACAATAGTGTGTGTGTGTGGGGATTAAATCTTCTTTATTTTTTAAAAACAAAATCATTAGGAAAATATATCACAGCCTTGAAACAGCAGACAGGCTATATTATCAAGTAGTAAGTTGGTAAAAAGACAAGGTCCTCATCAAAATGATAAGGTGCCATGCTGGGGTAAAAACACTGCATGTTGCAAGGGCCCAGGCAAAAATGGTATTTGGTAATGGGGGCTGCCCCTCCTCAGCTTTAAGGGAGTCACAGCTTGTCCTAACCCAAGTTGCTTACTTTTGATCCCTTGACCTTCCTGTTGCCAGGGGATTGTCTCAATAGGGCTCTGTTAATTCGGGGGGCTAAGCAAGCAATGCTGGGTTTAGGCTTCTTTCATTCTATTTTGTTCTACGAAAATCAAGTTTTTCCAAATACAGTACTTCACAACTCTTTTAAGTAGCCAATAGTTTCTCATTACTGTTCCTTCCCTGATACTGCTATATGTCACAATCAAAACTTTTTCCCTTCAAGGGGAAACTGTTACTGCAAGATTGTCCTGTCACTCTGCTGGAGACAGCCTCAGAGCCCATTAGGCAATGAGACGGAAGCTCATTTTTCCCTCTCTCTCTCTCTTTTTTTTTTTTTGCATCATCTCCAGGTTAAAAGATTCAGTGTGTAAGAATTTCAAGAAATGCACACCCACATCTTGATGGTGAGAAAAGGAACCAAACTACTTTCCCTCTCAACCCCACATCTTAAATCAACTTCATGCCCCTGTATATAAAACAAAACCAAGAAAAACAAAGATCCAGAAACCCCTTTTCCCCTTCTAAATTAGTGACCTCATGGATTTTGTTTTATAGCTTTTGGAAAATGGTGTGGTGACACTTCTGGTGAACAGGAGGTTGGCAGCAAACAGACACATGTCTCTTCAAACTCCACCAGATCATAGGCAAGTTAGAGGAACATACCAGCCTGTTGGTATCTGTGCTTGTGTAGTAAGAGGAATCTGCTAACTTTGAGGGCTCTGGCTTGGTACAAGGGAGATCCCTACTGTCAGGACAAGAACTTGCCACATGAAATTTAGACTATAAAACACTCTCCTGTACTATCTCTGACCCAAATTTTAGCACCAGTTTTTTCCATTTCACTTTCTAGGATTTAAACATAAAAGAACAAGTGTCCAGAGGCAAATGACATATGCCTTAAACTTGCTGCCATCAACTTTGCTTAAAATGCTAAAATTCCCATTCCTCTTTTTAAATAGATGCCTGCCCTCAGCCCTGATGGCCACTGGCAAAGACTTTTATTTCCCAATGGATGAGAGAGACTCCTTCATCTTCTTGGTCATAGTCGGGATGAGGTGCATGTGGTCATCCACACACTTGGTCACGCAACTGTCCAGCTGCTGCTTCACCTGAAGCTCCTTACTCCCCGCATCTATTGAATCTTTGGCTTTGTCATTGCAATGCATGGTACACCGGGCCAGGCGGTCCTGTGGCAAGAAGGCAGGGGGTAGAGAAAGCTGAGAGGCTGGCCTCCATTTACCAAGTTACCATCACGTGCCAAGCCTGTGCTACAAGCCTGACATATATTATCTTCATCATTTAAAGGGACACTACAGTGTGATAACCTTGACTAAAACAGAAGGTGGCATGAGGAGGGCCCAGACAAAGCATTACTAGAAAGCAGATAAATGATAGAATAAATTATACAGAAGACTCTTCCAGGAAGTGAGAGGTTACTAGAGGTTATTATTTGATTTACAAACATCTTGATTCTTTTATATCTGCCCTTGCTACAGAAAAACACTCAATTCAACAAATATTTATTGAGCATCTACTATGTGCCAGGCAGTCTTCTAATGGTTGAGAATATAGCAATGAGTAAAACAGATGAAGTTCTTGCCCTCACAGAACTTACATTCCAGTGACAGGAGAGGGACAAAATAAATAAGTGGAGATGCTAAGGAAACAGTTGGTTATATGAACCTGGAGTTCAAGAGTGAGGTCTGGTCTAGAGGTATGAATGCAGGAGTTGACAGCATATAGAAGAAATTTACAGCTATGAGATTAGAGAAGTCTAGAGAAGTAGTTAGAAAAAAGGACCAAAGACAGCCTTGGGCATTCCAATGCTCAGAGGTTAGAGAGGGGAAGAACCAGCAAAGGAGGCCAAGAAAGGGTGGCCAGGGAGGAAAGGAGGTGGAAAACATGTATAGTGAGGTGTCCTGGTGGCCAACTGAATAAAGCATTTCAAGGAGGAGGACAGTGATCCACTGTGTCAGTGATACAGATAGGTCACTGAGAAATGACCACTGGATTTAGCCCCGTGGAGGTGAGTGGCAAGAGCAATTCTGCCACAGTGGAAGAGTGAAAGTCTGCTTGGAGAGGACTGAAAAGAGAATGGAAGGAGAAAGTTGTACAGCAATCAAAGAATCATAATATTTTCAAAGACCCTATTTATAAAACTAGCTGTGAAAATGAAAACAAAGAAACACTTTGGAGTTTCATGATCTGGGAGAAATTATCCCTTCATGGAGGCAATAATTCTAAAGAGTTTTATATAGCAGAATGTAAAAATGTATCACATTGGGTATAATTTCTCCATGTGAATGGAACCTCAGGCTAGGAACAACTGGCTCAGAAATAAGCCCTGCTTCCCCCAAGTTCCAGAAAAATATATTCAGAGGAAGGGAGTACAATGAAGTTGTAGATACCCTTTGCTCCAGAGAGGGAAAAAGGGAGCTCTTTTTGTAACCCCAAAGGGGCTTGTGAGCAAGGCAACACTAAGTCAACAATAATAATGCTTCATATAAATGACTGCTCCTGGGCTGGCTGGCTAGCTCACATGGTTAGAGTGCAGTGTTATAACACCAAGGTCAAGGGTTTGGCCAGCTGCAAAAAAAAAAAAAAAAAAAAAAAAATGAATGTCAATAACCTGGGAACACCCTGAACAGCCTGCAATAAAGCTGTAGCAAATAGAAGCAGTCCTGGGTGGACAGTGTATAGTGCAAGTCTACAAAATGGGGGTTGGGTCTTGCTGGAATCTGTACCTTTTCAAGACTATCCTATTCCACTCTCTTGGGGATTTTGCTGTTTTAAAACTAAATTAGTGTATGTTTTAGGGAACTTTATACCATAAAATATACAGATTGTATGTGGTGCTTGTTGAAAAAAAAATGCATAAAGACTCTTGGTCATGAACTCCCCTGGTAACTCCCTTTTATATCATTGTTGCACAAAAGGGTGAAGAGAATGCCTTGCCGTGATTGGGGGTGGGGTGGGAGTGAGGGCTGCCCTCTGCCGTGACCAAAAGAGTGTGAAAAAGAATGGGCCTGGAATAGAAAAGGAGGCTGGTAGGTGGGTGGGGGACACAAAGGAATAAGGTAGGCATTTGCTGTAGCTGGTCCCTAGACGGCAGGAGAACTCTGGTTTGAGGGCAGTGGGCAGCTTTACTCAACCTAGTTCTTTGAAGAAAGCCACATTCTTTAAGCATCGGGCCCTCTCTAGCCACCGTCTACACCACTGTTCAGGGTCCGACTCACACTTTCCACTTCAAACCATATTCGAGGTGGCTCCCAGCAGCAGCTGGAATCAGGGTGACGCCAGCTGATATACTTGTACAATTGCCAGGCACTGTTTGAAGTGCTTTACATGGATTATCTCATTTAATTCCTTATCTCATTTCATTCCCACAATAATCCTATAAGGTGAGTACTTTGCTATCCACTTTTCTTCCACTCAGGACAGAAAACTGAGGCCTAGAAAGATGAAACCACTTGCCAAAGTTTGCACATGTAGAAACAGGTGGAGCTAGACTTCCAACCCAGATAGGCTGACTCCAGGCTGTAGAAGTAGGAAATCCCTATTGTGACTGACAATGTTCCCCACATTTCACAGGAAATTCTTCCTTTCTTTATAGCACAACCTGAAAGTCCTTACTGTTTTTCCCTTAGTCCTAAAATGTCAGACTGAAGTTCTCCAACAACTCCTACGTGTAGGAGCCCAGCTAATCATGCTGAAATGAGTTTAAAAGTCCTTGAGTCACACAGCCTTGTTAGTTAGTGCATACAAAATGAATGGCTCTTTAGTATTTCTTAGAAGTGATTCCTGACTTCCAGTTGGCTTTGGAAACTAAATGGGAGTCATGGTGGAAACAGAGTTTAATCTCATGTTGGGAATCTCAGATATGCGACTGTGTTACTATCCTGGTGTTTTGAGAGTAGACGATGAGGTTTCAGGGTTATCTGGCTCCAGCTCTGGATGATGCACAGAAGCAAGTCTGAAGCCTTTCAGGATCCTGGGTGGTCAGTTATGTAGTGTCTACTCCTTTCCCATCTTTCCTGCATGCCATTCTCTGAACCCAGCCTTCTGGTGGTGGCTCAACAGCGGCAGAAATACTCTCAGCCATCCTGCCAGACACAAATGATGGCACTGGATAGGACAGGGCTTTTTCCTACTTACCCATATTCCAGCTGTGGGTAGGATCAATGGAGGCCTGGAATGAGGGGAGGAAGTGAATTTTGTTTATTGCTGCTACTTTTTCTAACCCTCAGATTAGCAAAGGGTGACAGCCAGAAATCCAGCAATGGACAACCTTGGTTGAAGAGTTCCAGATGAAACTTTATGGATCAAACTGATCATTTAAAAAGCAATTCTTAGGTTAACACTTCTGGACATGATACTCTTTGGTAGATTAGGAATCCTTGATGGGGAAAAGAAAACTCCCAGGCAAAGAACACTATCTTCTGCGGAATGAGGAATTCAACTTTTTGGAAGCCACAAGTATTTTATTAAAATACATTTGAAACTTAGGTTGAATGGTTATTTCATGTGTATATAGTAAGCATAAAAATAAATTAAATTAGTAAGTATAAAATAAAGCAAATGTTTTATGATCATAAATATCCTACCATGTAAATATCTTTTGAATCTATTCACATCTCTCTAGCCTACTGTTACTACCCTACATAAAGCTGTTATTATTATTATTTGCCTGGGCTACCACCATTGACCCTGTTTAAATCTTTTGCACATCTTCCTATTGAGTGGTTTTTTACTTATTGGTTTGTAGAATGTATTTCTATAGTCTCTTAATGAGATTTTTGTGAGTTATATGTGTTATGAACATCTTCTCCTACTTTGTGACTTGCTTTTTCTCTTTATTAAATAGTATTTATTGATGAAAGAAGTCCTTAATTTAAATGTAGTCATACTTACTATTTTCCCCCTTTATAGTTAATTCTTTTTGTGTCTTGTTTAAAAAAATCTTTCTCAACTTCAAGATATAAAGGTATTCTTGAGATGTTAAAAAATTATATTCATTTCTGTTCAGGCTTTTTTCTAATATATGCCTTTTGAAGCTATTAGTGTTCCTCTTAGTACCGTTTTAGCTACTCCCACAAGTTTTGATATGTAGTATTTTTGTTCAAATATTTTCTAATTTCTGAAATGGATTCTTGGACTCATGAGTTATTTACAAATGTATTTCTTAATTTCCAAACACTGGATACTTTTTAGGTAACTTTTTGTCATCAATTGCATGTTTGATTGCATTATGGACAAGAAACATACTCTATATAATTTTAGTCTTTTGATTTGTTGAATTTTGCTTTATGCCATCAAGAAAAGACTTTTCCTCTGTCATGTATTTTCTTAGTGCCCTGTACTTGTCTGTGATAGTGCCCATCACTACTACTCATTACATGTTCCATGTTTATTTTCTTAGCTAGATTAAAAACTTTATGAGGACAGGGACCATGCCTAAGTTCTTCATTGCTCTTCCTCAGTTCTTTGCTTAGGGTATGGCACATACTAACCCCTCAGCAAAGGTTTCTTTAATAAATGAATAAATTAATTTATTTGATTATAACAGTTATTAATCAGATTACTAAAAATATTTGGAAACCAGAGAAAAGCAACAATAGATAGATAGAAACATAAAAATCTATAATACTACCCTATTACTTTAAATACCACTGTTAGCATTTTGATTTCTTTCTTTCTTTTTGTTTAAACATGATAAACATTTATTTTTCATTTATCATCTAAAGGTCAGCAGTCTAGGGCTTATATGGCAACTCCGCAACTCCTCCTTCTAGTTGTTGTGCCATTCCCAGGGGCTACACCCTCATCCATATGGTCTTGATTTATTTCTCTCCAGTCTTTTTTCCTATGTGGATTTTTCTTAAAACATGCAGTAATAAAATATACAATTATATTATAAATATTTCCATGTCATTATGTACAAATAAAGGGAAACATAGCATGTAACCAGTGATCAATGTTAAGTAGAAGAGGACTGATATTATAACATAAATGTAAAGATTTGAGTAAGTCCTGGGATGGGAAATGATTGAACCCTTAGATAGGTTGAGCATCCAGGGGCAGAGGAGGTATGTATGCCTTCATAGAGTCTCAGGGAGGTGCGCAGATTCCAGAAGCTTGATGGTGACATGGTGGGTCTTGGCAGAGAGGGCCTTAGGCAGCCCCACAGGATTCTCCAAGCCTTACTGTGAGTAGGAGCTTCCCCAGGGTAGCATGGAACCAGATAGGGCTTCAGACAGCCAAGAGTATTTCTTTCCCATGGCCCAGAATGGGAACTGCCTAATAAGCTCCATGTGGCTGAGAGAAGCACAGAGCAGCTGAGAGACAGAGCTGGACCCGGACAGATCCTGTGATTGGGAAGAGGGATGACTCTGCAGCAGCTGGCATGAGCTAACTACAGAGACCTTTTCTCTTGCAGGTTCCAGTGTGGACAGATGATACAATCCACCCTCCAATCAGACAGCTAGATTGTCACTTAGATGCAACTCCAGGATGGGCTCCCATATTGATGGAGATTATGTCTCTGCCTGCCAGCAAAAGGGAACTCACATTAGAAATTCTTTAGTTTAGGAAAATAAAGTTAGATTTCTTGTACATCTGAGTTTGTGGACTGAGATTTGTATTGGTATATGTGTGCTCCTTAGATGAAGAATCAGTTAAAAAAACAAACAAACAACTAGCTGCATGGGCCTCCATAGTGACTAACAAATTGTGAGTTCTAGTTTTCTGTTCCAGGGCACTGGAATCAGATGTGGGACTGGAATGACATTAGTCACTTCCTTGATTCAGCACCCTCATCCTTCCAAGACTATTGTAATAATATCCCTTTGTAAAGCCTTCCCTACTACACTCCACCCTTTCTAAATTGTATATCTGGGATTATTTATAGTTTGTCCTTATCCATTGTCTGCTCAAAGTCCCCCACCAGCCTACAGAAGAAAGTTCTAACTTCTTAGAATGGACTACACAGCATGTCAGGGTCTGCCTGTAACCTCCTTTTCCACGCTGTCTCTCACACTGTCTCTCTACTTCCCCTTACTGTGTGCCAGATGTGCCCAACCACTTACAGTCACTTCAACATGTCATCTTCCCTTTTTAGGCCTCTGTGCCTGTGCATATGTCATACCTCTGTCTGGGAAGCCCTGCCCTACCTCTCTTCTCTACCTTGTGGACTCCTATTTAAGACTTGGCTCAGACACCACAAAATTGGTGTCCTCTCCTGTATGCTCTTGTAGTGCTTTGAGTTTTCAGCCCTCCTTTATCATGATACCCTTTTTATTCCATTGAAAAGGAGGGGTCTCAAACTCACTTGCCTTTTGGGCCCTGGAGGGAGCACAGAGGAGTGAAGTTGGGCTGGTGTAAGTGACTATGTATGTAGAGTGATGGAAGGCGTGGTAGACTGAAGAACACATCCTCTTCTTTACTTTCTCAAACACCATGGGCCCAGATAAAATATGTTAAACCTGACCCTGAGACTCTTCAGTGATGTTATTCTTTGTTTTTTGTCATCCCCCTAGATGGCGAGCCTCTTGTGAATGTTATATTGTTCTATGCATCTCCTTTAGCACCAATGACAGTACAACAAACACACATTATCAGGAAATGTTTGCTCAAAAAATTAGTGAGTGGGAAAGTGAAAATCTTGCCTTTCTGTAAATTTTCTCCCCTTCCAAGTTTGCCTTGTGGGCAGAATGGCCTCTGGCCTCCGGCCTCCTCTATGTGCTCTAGATGGTTTTGGGTGAGTTGGTGAAAGGCTCTTGGAATAGATGCAGCAAAATCAAGCCCCTTATGGAGAAATAACTTTAACTAGAATCATGGAGACAGAAGACAGTGGTGGGGGGTAGAGGGATAACCTGGCTGGAAGTTGTTCCCAGCCCTGCTGAACTCTAGCTAGATGCCTCTGGGTTGAGATCCTTCCTCTCTCTGGGCCTCTGTTTCCTAACCTGGAAAATTAAAAAAAAAAACAAAAAACAAGAAAAGAAAACAAGAAAAAAAGGGAAAGGCAAATCCATAGTCATTAGACAGTTTCAGGGAAGTAAGAACGGAGTACTTTTAGCTTCTTGGAGAAAAATCTCTTTCAATAGAAAGGATGATTATGAATCAAATCACTGAACATATGAGGCACTGCTTACTGAAGAGAACAACAGGTGAGCTGTGGGAAATCCTATGATTCACTTATGACAAGCCCAAGAAGACTTAAGGAGTTTTCACCTAAAGCAGCTCCTTTTCTAATTCTCACTTGCCAACAACACAGTGGGGCAGAGAGCAAATCTTCCTCAGAGAGGCTCGGAACCCTGTTCCATCAGGATAATACAGATTGTCAAGTAGGTGGCCTTTGAAACATCCCATGTGATATATTCTCTGCATTATACAATGCACCTATGAGTGCTAAAGTCAACAGAAATTCAGCATAATGGTTAGGAACTTGAGGCAGATCTGTATTTGAGTTCTGCTTTGTCCCTTACCAGTGATGTAACCTTAGACAAGTTACTCAATAATCTCTATCTGTAAAGTTTGGTAATTAAAATGCCTACCTTGCAGTTTGTTAATTAAAGTGCCTACCTTGCAGGGTGGTCATTCTGTGACTTTTACTACTGGGCGATGGCTGTATCCATTCAGACCATGCAGAATGACTTTAGTCCTTTCTTCATGTAATGGACTTTGTGATATTTAAAGAGCAGGTCTCCAGGGAAGATTTTTCTTCTCCAGATTAATTATCACCTGTGTCTTTGATCAAGAATCATAGAATTTAAAGGGCTTTTATGGATCATTTTGCTTTAAAATTTTTTTAGCAGAATCCTTTTTGGGGTTTTGTTTCCACATTTAACAACTGTGGTGGGGGGGGTGACTCCAACATAAAGATCATATGAAGATGTTATTTTAATGGTCTCAATTAATTTTGTAACTTTAAATATTAAAGATTTGTTTCTTCTAAATAGACTACCTACTTTATTTACTTATTTACTTATTTTTTCTGGTGACTGGCCAGTAGGGGGATCCAAACCCTTGACCTTGGTGTTTTCAGCACCACGGCCTAACCAACTGAACTAACTGGCCAGCCCCTACGCAGACTATCTACTGCTCCGTCCAATATGACAGCCACTAGCCACATGAAGCTATTTGAATTTAAAGTAAAAGTAAGTAAAATAAAAAATGCAGCTCAGTCACAGGAGCCACATTTTAGCTCACTAGGACATGTGATGTGTAATCAGTATATGTAGATATAGAATGTTTCCCTCATCACAGAAAGTTCTATTGGCTCTAGAACAATGAAGCTGTTTTGACAGACACACAAAAAATTGAAATCAGCGTTATGAATGAAATATCAACCATATGGCCGTCTTGCTGCCAATGTACATCTCAGTTTTGCTTTACTTACACAGAATCAAGCTAACCTTTATTCTACCAGATCGTCGTTACACATGGTGGCCCTTCCCAACAGCTCGTCTTTCAGTCCCAGGATATTCTGTCATCNTCAAACACCATGGGCCCAGACAAAATATGTTAAACCTGACCCTGAGACTCTTCAGTGATGTTATTCTTTGTTTTTTTTTGTCATCCCCCTAGATGGCGAGCCTCTTATGAATGTTATATTGTTCTATGCATCTCCTTTAGCACCAATGACAGTACAACAAACACACATTATCAGGAAATGTTTGCTCAAAATTTAGTGAGTGGGAAAGTGAAAATCTTGCCTTTCTGTAAATTTTCTCCCCTTCCAAGTTTGCCTTGTGGGCAGCATGGCCTCTGGCTTCTGGCCTCCTCTATGTGCTCTAGATGGTCTTGGGTGAGTTGTTGAGAGGCTCTTGGAATATATGCAGCATAATCAAAGCCCTTATGGAGAAATAACTTTAACTAGAATCATGGAGATGGAAGACAGTTTTGGGGGTAGAGGGATAACCTGGCTGGAAGTTGTTCCCAGCCCTGCTGAACTCTAGCTAGATGCCTCTGGGTTGAGATCCTTCCTCTCTCTGGGCCTCTGTTTCCTAACCTGGAAAAAAAAAAAAAACAAGAAAAGAAAACAAGAAAAAAAGGGAAAGGCAAATCCATAGTCATTAGACAGTTTCAGGGAAGTAAGAACGGAGTACTTTTAGGTTCTTGGAGAAAAATCTCTTTCAATAGAAAGGATGATTATGAATCAAATCACTGAACATATGAGGCACTGCTTACTGGAGAGAACAACATGTGAGATGTGGGAAATCCTATGATTCACTTATGACAAGCCCAAGAAGACTTAAGGAGTTTTCACCTAAAGCAGCTCCTTTTCTAATTCTCACTTGCCAACAACAGGGTGGGGCAGAGAGCAAATCTTCCTCAGAGAGGCTTGGAACCCTGTTCCATCAGGATAATACAGATTGGCAAGTAGGTGGCCTTTGAAACATCCCATGTGATATATTCTCTGCATTATACCATGCACCTATGAGTGCTAAAGTCAACAGAAATTCAGCATAATGGTTAGGAACTTGAGGCAGATCTGTATTTGAGTTCTGCTTTGTCCCTTACCAGTGATGTAACCTTAGACAAGTTACTCAATAATCTCTATCTGTAACGTTTGGTAATTAAAGTGCCTACCTTGCAGGGTGGTCATTCTGTGACTTTTACTACTGAGTGATGGCTGTATCCATTCAGGCCATGCAGAATGACTTTAGTCCTTTCTTCATGTAATGGACTTTGTGATATTTAAAGAGCAGGTCTCCAGGGAAGATTTTTCTTCTCCAGATTAATTATCACCTGTGTCTTTGATCAAGAATCATAGAATTTAAAGGGCTTTTATGGATCATTTTGCTTTAAAATTTTTTTAGCAGAATCCTTTTTGGGGTTTTGTTTCCACATTTAACAACTGTGGTGGGGGGGGTGACTCCAACATAAAGATCATATGAAGATGTTATTTTAATGGTCTCAATTAATTTTGTAACTTTAAATATTAAAGATTTGTTTCTTCTAAATAGACTACCTACTTTATTTACTTATTTACTTATTTTTTCTGGTGATTGGCCAGTAGGGGGATCCAAACCCTTGACCTTGGTGCTTTCAGCACCACGGCCTAACCAACTGAACTAACTGGCCAGCCCCTACGCAGACTATCTACTGCTCCGTCCAATATGACAGCCACTAGCCACATGAAGCTATTTGAATTTAAAGTAAAAGTAAGTAAAATAAAAAATTCAGCTCAGTCACAGGAGCCACATTTTAGCTCACTAGGACATGTGATGTGTAATCAGTATATGTAGAGATAGAATGTTTCCCTCATCACAGAAAGTTCTATTGGCTCTAGAACAATGAAGCTGTTTTGACAGACACACAAAAAATTGAAATCAGCGTTATGAATGAAATATCAACCATATGGCCGTCTTNGACAGACACACAAAAAATTGAAATCAGCGTTATGAATGAAATATCAACCATATGGCCGTCTTGCTGCCAATGTACATCTCAGTTTTGCTTTACTTACACAGAATCAAGCTAACCTTTATTCTACCAGATCGTCGTTACACATGGTGGCCCTTCCCAACAGCTCGTCTTTCAGTCCCAGGATATTCTGTCATCAGGCAGAGGTGGCAGGAGAAGCTTTAGTTCGAGCCTGAACTAAGGCAAGTTAACCTGGTGGTACAAGAAAATTCTCCAGTGATGTCTCCTGGGCTCATATATGGCATATAATATACTTAAGCAGGTGTTTTTTGAAGGATAGATGAAAAAGTACTTAAAAATATTTTTAAAAATTAGAATTCTCTGACAACTTCTGGAACCATGAAAGCCTTTCTCACCTCGTGAGCCCACGACACCCTCTGTAAACTTTACTCTTGGTCCAAACCAACCTTCTTATGAAACTGGATCCTAAAAAGACATGGGTTTTAGGTGGCCACATAGTAGGTGAGTGTCAGGAAAGTGAATAGACGTGGATTTTTCTGACTCTCAACCCACTATATTTTCCATACACCTCCGAAATGACATGGCTCGAACCACATCTCCATCCCCCAGCCCGTCCTGCCCACCCTCCCGGCCCTCTGAGCTACACTCTCCTGAAGCCACTTCATGGTAACATTCCCTGTTGAAGGGCGGGGCCTGGACTGGACCAAAGCTGGGGCTGAGTGGGGCCTTACCTTTCTCATCTGGGATGTTACCTTCAATGGTAATAACAGTAGCTTCTGTTTATTGAGCACCTACTGTGAGCCAGATAAACTAGGTGTTCTAAGGATGGGACTTCTCACCCTCTCAACAGCTTTGCTGGTGTCACTGTTATCCTTTTGACAGAGAAGTGTCAAATGAAAACACAGATTCAGAGTTAGTAAAGAGAGAGATTTTTCTTTTTTTTGGCAGCTGGGTGACGTATAAGCAAGGAGACACTTTAATTTAAAATGTTGGTACAATTGGGGGAGGGGACTGTCGCAATGGGCAGGGGGTGTGGGGAGAAGTGTTGTAGTAGGGAGTACCTTGTGAC